CATTGGCCTGTTCAGCTGAGCCATTCATTCAATAAACAAAACAAATCCTGACAATTGATAAAAGAACATAGACTCTTGATAATCATATTAGATGATTAGGCAATTGCATTTGAAAGATTTTACTTTCAATCAAAAATGTGTTAAAATAGATTTGTAAAAGGTGTTTTGTTGCATTTACACTGTTCAGACCGCCAGGGGTCGCCGTGGAGACGGTGTTTCCACATTTGCTTCAACTGTTTCTGTGTCACAAAGCCTCGGTCTGCACACCACTAATACCACCAACCCTGTCCTAACCTCACCCGTATCAACCCAATAGCAGCGTCAAGAGTTGTTTTGCATCCCATTTACAATTTCTAGTCTTTTATTTTGATTCATGTCACAGTCATGTTTCCTGTCTAATGGTGCGTTTGCATGCTATGCAAAATATGATATCTTCCACCTGTGAACTGGTATGTACCAGTGTGTTGTGTTCAAGTGCTTTTGTTGTCTGGAGATCCAGACCTGTTATTTAGCTAAAACTATTTTAGATTGCTTACATCATCTGCTAGCAAGAACTCAAAAACTCAAACGGTAAATATGCTGTATATTTTCTAGATCATGAATAGTACACATTTTTTACCATTCACGACTCTCGCATTGGTCTCCACCATTTTGAAAAGGTCAAAGGTTATCTCATCCCGGCAACTCGTACATCAAACTATTCTACGAGATTTAATCTACGAAAAAATTTTTTTTGGTAATTTTGTTTATGAAATGATGTTGAATGTTGAAAAAAATTTATTCTGTACAGTTTATCACACTAGTGTGCTTTAATTTTTCCAGGAAGTTTAAATGCTTTTATCTTGTACAAAATGGCACAAAGTCACACTTGTGCGGTTCCTGGTCAAAAATGACCAGCTTTAATAAAATAAATGCATATAAATTTCTTGTTATGCTATATTATCACTAAATATTGGATTCAGTCTTTTTGTAAACTTATTTTCTTTCAATTAGGGGAGGTTTTGTTTTTAGTTTTGAGACTGACTGATTTTTGAGAGGCAACAGAAAACACCGCAATCTGAAGCCCTCATGTTCGCCTTGTCTTGTAGTCGTTATACTGAAGAACGTCGTGCTGTTTCCACACATTGTTTGTCCAGTTCATTGCTTATGTTTTGTTTCATGTCAAGATTGAGTTTCAGATTTGGGATCTTCATTATAAAATGCACTTGGGTTTTCTTCTTCATCTGCTCCATTACAAAGTACATTGTACCAAACAATTCATTTGTTATACAAGTTATAGTAGTTAAAGGCACCTAATATAAAGTGGGACCAAATGGTGAAATTAACAAACTAAAACAAACAAATGTTAATTGTTTTTAAATTACATTTTCAGTTGATGTTAACTAATTTACTAATGTTAAAAAAATTAAGTGTTACCAAATTTTCGAATTTTCATTGGTAACAATTTTATGCTGAGAAACAAAGCAATAAACACAAAATAAACACAGTTGGAACACTATTATACTTTTCTTTTTTCTTTTTTTTTTTTTTTTTTTTTTTTTGCTGTGGACAAGATTATTTCAGAGCAAAAGATTCGGATCACACTTTTTAAATTTGATTGTCTAAATATGTCCAGACGAAATGCATGAATTTGCTCCCATTTTAAATTGGTGGCATTGGTCATACAGAAAATGTCCCCTGGCCTAGGGTGACATGTTTTCTGGTTTTCTTTCATTCGTTCTTTTTATTTATTTTATTTTTTATTTCTGTCTGTCTGAACTACAGCTTTCCTGAGGCAAGGTGGAGTGTGTCTCCGCACCAAAACACACAATCTGACTTTGCCTTTCAGAAAGAGAGAGAGAGAGACCTAAAGGAAGGTCAGCTGTGGGGATGTAAATAATTCTTGTCTAAATTTGTCTTTCAAACACAGTATTTGTGCATGACACCAAGAGAAGCAATGGGTGAAATCACACAAATTAATCTTAGACTGTGCTAAAAAGAAAAAGAAAAATAGAGGGGAAAAAAAAATCAGATTTGCACCCAAGCAGACAAGGTAAATAATAAGGTAAAGCAAAATTACGTCATCATTTACTCACGCCTTCCGTGGACGATAAAAGGAAATATCCTGGCTGTGTTTTCCACAGAATGAAAATGAATGGACACAATGTAGATGAGCTTTGAAAAAATGCCCATATGACTCATGCTCTGTATTCAAAGTCTCCTGAAGCCATGGAATAGATTTGTGTGAAGTAGACTAAAACAAAGTCATTTTGAGTTATAAATCTTCACTGAAAAAAATGTGGAGTAGGATTTACTTGAAAAAAGCTAGGCAACTTTTTTCCACTCAGAAAATGCTAGTAAATTTACAAAGATTTGCCAAGTAAAAACCTAAACATATTTATCAGTCGCTTTAATTAGAAATCTTAAGTTAAAATTTACTTGGAATATGGAATTAAGTAAACTTTACTTTAGTTAAGTGAAAGTAACAAAGAATATAAGTAACTTGACTAGTAAAAGGTTGACTTAGTTGTAATTTCCTTGACATTACATTTCACTCAAACAATTTTATTAAATTATACCAGTCATTTATAGTATGTGTTTTACTTATAGCCTACCTAAGTAATTTATACTTTATCATGTCAGATTTTAAGCATGATGTGAATGCAAAGACCTCAATACTTGGTAGACAATACACAATGACGGTAACATTTGATGGATCGTTTTTGTGTTTGAATGTGTCATTTTGAGCAGAAAAATTCCTCAAAATGTCACAAAATGGCAAGTTACTAATCCTGACGACAAACATATTTTAGTGACTAATAGTGGAAATTAATGGTAATTAATATGCCATTTTGGTTTAAAAAAACATAATGACATTTTATTTACCAATTAGTTAATAGTCATGTGCCCCAACAAGTAAAGTCATGACATAAATGATCCCTTTGCAAATCATTAGCTAATGATTAATTAAAGCAGACAACTGGAAGTTGAAGTGCGTAGCTTTGCCTAATTGTGGTAATTACCACATTCATTTACACTATTAGTTAATCAAATATCTTTATTAGACTCTTTATTAGTTGCTGATGCAGTAATAATTAATTAAAGGTTTAGTTCTTCATGAGTCATACATTAACTCATGATTATCTGAGCATTAGTTAAGAATGAAATACCGGTAATGCATATTAGTGCACCCAAATTGTAAAGTGTCACCAGTAAAATATCTGCATATGTTGTCTGTGCTGTATATATATATATATATGTGTGTGTGTGTGTGTGTGTGTGTGTCTAATGGATAATGTACCATCTGATATTGCATATTGCTGCAGCCAGAAGTTTATTTTCTGATTGTATATTATCCAATTTATTGTGAACAGTTGCTTATGTTTAAAGGAAATACTGATTAAACTGTACAAATTGACAATTGAAATACAGATTTTAGACCACAAGCACAGTTACGTCGGAAACAACGCCCGCATGAGCAAATCATATTTTAAATGTTTATAGGCTACATGAGAAATATTTTCCAATCATCTAAATATTGAGAGCTCAATAAAATATCTGTCTTGGCGCAGATCTGCCATCTGCTGGATAAGAGGAACCAAGGATCAGAGATACGCTGCATGTTCAAGTACTCCTCACTGCAGACTGTAGCGCGGTGACGTCACGAACGTTTGTCACCTATGTATGTCACGTATATGTTATCACACATGTGCCATATCGCGGTGACAGCGCATGCGCGTTACGCGTTTAAGTTTTTTTTTTTTGACATAATATTTAATAAAATGTCAATGTATTAAAAAAAAAAACTCCAAAGTAATAATGAAAGCAGCAAAAAGTACTGCACACATCCATAGTTTTAACTATGCCTGAATTAAGGTAAACTTATAAGAAATTTCAGAGTGTTCTTAGATATCCTTCTTAACTGCTTGTTTTGGCACAAAATAGACATGAATGACTGAATGAATGAATGTCATGGGATACGGTGACTGGGAAGGGTATGGACATGTTCAGGTCACTTTGTTTTTCATGGCCACGACAGTAGTCATAGTATGTTAACGTTAGCTTGAAATACAATGACCGGTGTGAACTGCAATGTTAATATAGTGTCATTAATGTGGCCCGTCGACAGAAGATCAACAGAAGATCAACGACCGAGGCGAAGACCAGGAGACTTGCTTGTATCTTCTTCAGCAGGATTCTTTTTTAAGAACACGAGCTGTAGGTAGCTGGAGTCATCAAGTCTGACTAAGGCAGTGTATGTACATTTATATACATTTAGTGGGCAGTGGTTAGAAATGGAGACAAAGCACCTGGGTAACAACCTTAAACAAAACATGCCAATGAAGTATCCAGGTTTAGGAACCCGACCTAGACTCTAGAGTGTCACCAATCCTAATCCAATCAGCCTAACTCTTCAACGACTGAGATAGGGGCACCAAGAGCCACTAAAGACAAAGGGCGAGTCTCTCAGTAATCTGACTCATTTAACTTACAATGAGAGAACAAGACTGGCAGGAATCTCTTGCTGGAAACTTTGCTTAACAGCTGATATCATCATCATAACCTTAAATGCTAAATGCAATGTACTCTATGTTGGTTTTCTATGTTATGCTATTTAAGGACATAAGAACAGCGGATCTTAAACAGATTCTTACATTTGTAATCTCACAGTCAGGATTTTTGTTAAATAATACATTTATTTTGGTTTGTTTTTCACCAAACCCATACTCCCAGAATACTGGGAATATACAACACATGATGCATGGGACCATTCTCTTTTAAAAGTTTGATCCTCCTGGTCACTATTCACTGCCATTATATGGACGAGCAGAAGCGGATTTTTTTTTTTTTTTTTGTGGTCCGAAAAAGAAAGATAGACATACGGCATTAGAACAACACCAGGGTGAGTAAAAGAATAATCCAATTTTTAATTTGATTAACTATCCCTTGAATCTTTTTTTAAGAAAGAAAAATGTTGAATATTGCAGAATTTAATCTGACGTTTTTACAACACGACAAGCTTCATTAATTATGACCTCAGGAAGGTAGTATTTTATTTCGTAAAATGTCACAGAAATTCACAGCAAAAAATACATTTAAAAAATCGCATCAGAACACCAGATAGAGAGAAGTGATTCAGTCCAGCGTGTCTGATGTAGCATCTGTCGAGCTGCTGGATTCAGTGCATCAGGAAGTAGGAGAGCAGAGACCCGCAGAGGAACAGGAAGCTCTGGGTGACGCTCTGAGCCCCGTTACACAGGTTCCCCTCACAACATGAGATGCCCCGAACATTTTTAACCAATGCCGTGGCAGCACAAGCTGACTTAGAGACACAGCCTTTTACAACTGATAACAGGCCCTGAGAATGACCTGATGAAAAGAAAGAAGAAAAACAAAAAAGAAAGGCGGATTCAGTCTAAGCTGTACATTGGTATTTGTGATCTGTATCAAATGTTAAAACCTAGAGAGTTTAAGAGATAATGATCTTCCTTTTCCAGATTCTCACCTGTTATTGTAATGCAGCGGTCTTCGTCCCCTAAACAGCTCAATGTTTTAGAGCAGCCCTTTTCATCACAAGTATAACATTTCTTTCCATTCGGGACGGGATCTACAGAAGGAAAACAAGTATTCTTTTATTTTACTTTCTGTACAAAATATCTAATTAAATAACAGTCTTTTATCTGCTCCTTTCAATCAGTTCACGACAGACAGTTGGACAGCACTCCCTGCGTTTGAATGACATTTAGAAGTAAAACGAGTGTTGACTTTACAGAGGATTTGCACATTGTCATTTAAGTACAATACCTGAAAGATCTTGGGCGTTACACAGGTCTGTGTTACAGCAGGAAACATTCATCCTTTCATAGCCGAAGTTAGAGGATACACTTTGACATTCAGAAGCACAACCTTTACTCCTCGTTTTAATAGTAACGTCACCTACAAAATATGAATGATACAGGGAAGACAAGTTAAACTTGAGAGTTGACAAAAAGTTGTGAACATTTAGAACTTTTCATATTTGCATTTTTTTTAATAATCTGAGGGAAAACTCATTTAAAAAATCTTTGTAGATTATTTTGTGATTAAAATGATTAATTCCATCAGAAAAACAAGACTTTGTTCTGTTGCAGCTCCAGTAAATAACAGCAGCATCTCCAACTTTAAATCATATTGGACTTACCAACAACGGATGTTGTTACAATACTCTTGCACCAAGTAGATGGACATGTTGTTTCCGTTTGAGAACCCGTACAAGAACCCGTCTCACTGTAGCACCCATAGCACCGAAGAGAGTGTCCTTGAGTAATAAAAAAGAGAGAAAGAGACATCAATTATCTGTATTTGTACCCAGCAACTTACAAACGTAATGCGTCTTTGTACCTGCAGTGAAGAGAACGAAGAGAAGAAAAACTGAGATCTGCAGATCCATCTTTGATCAGGACAGGAGGTGAATGAAGTAATGTGCCCTTTTCAATGCTCATTTTATAGCGTATCAAAAGGGGAGGATCTTTATGAAAAATTAAAGTTTAACAGAAGTAGACATATTTTGAAACAGAAACTGTAGCTCAAATAATTTATTGACCAGTTAAAGATAAAGCAAAGTTCAAGGAGGATTTGCAAGAAATGAAGTCTACAGTGGGGAAATAATTATTTGGTCCAGTGCACTGCTGTTTTTGTAAGTTCCCATGAAATGAAGGGTCTTTGTATGGTAGGTTTAATTTATTTCCTGGTCTGTAGGACATAAGTGTCCGAACTTACAAAATCAGCAGAGGATCAAATAATTATTCCCCCACTGTACTTAAATCAAGCTTCGTAAAGTGATAATTCACCCTAAAACAGAACGTCTTTCATCTGTATTCACCCTCATTGCAGGAGCATAATTTTGCCAATGTTCAGTGACAATTATTGCATGCTATGTGGTGTAAGTATATTTATATATCTATATCTATATTATATATCTATTTATATATCTACAGTATATTAGTATATCTAAGTATATTTGTGTTTTGATTGTAAACTTTCTTTATTTGTGTGTACTATTTTGATAAATATTCTTAATTTATATAAAAATGTGTTCTATGTTAAAATTATGCACTGGCCTTTAAAGGCATTGCCATGGTGTTATCTCAGTTAGTCTAGCTGGTGTGATATGCATTGAGAGATGATCTTATGGAAAGTCTCAATGCCAATCTCTAGGTGAATGGTGTGTGATGATGTGGGGCTATTTTAACTCCAAAGGCCAAGGGAATTTTATCAGGATGCATATTATCCTGGATCCATGAAATAACTGGCCTTTAAAAATAAAAATCTGCCTGACTCTAGTTGTCTATTTAACAGATCTTCTATCGCCCTACAATCCATCGCGCTCTTTAAGATCACTAAATTCGAGGCTTCTGGTCATTCCTAGGATATCCAGATCCACCAAAGGAGGGAGAGCATTTTCACATTTTTCGCGCTCTGGAATAGCCTTCCTGATATTGTTCATTGCTCAGTCTCGCTCTCTCAGTTTAAAACTAGACTTAAGACGCATTTATTTAGCCTGGCATTCATATACATTTTTATCTCACAGATACTGTAAATTTGGCTTCTAGTTCATAAACGCCAGAGGAGAACTGGCCCCCGACTGAGCCTGGGTTCTCCCAAGGTTTTTTTTTCTCCATTGGGTCATCTGATGGAGTTTTAGGACACCGTCGGGTCACTTGATGGAGTTTTTCGGTTCCTTGCCACTGTTGCCTTTGGCTTGCTCAGTTGGGGATATTCAAATTAAATGACCCATCATACTATTGATCAGCTCTACCAAACTTGGATGTCTTTTTACCAGTAATAAACAAACACTGTTAAGTTGTCTTGATTGATACTGTGAAGCAGCTTTGATACAATCTGTATTGAAGCGCTATATAAATATATTTGACTTGACTTGACTCTATGGGGATTTAACACAGGAGTGTCCTGACTTATGCCCCCTTATTTTAAGGAAGAACATTTGTTTATTTTCGATACATTATTCATTCACAAAGAAAATTGGTGTCCTTTAAAGGTTGGTTTTCCTCATTTTTTTTCTTTATAAGGCATTAAGATCATTTTCCAAAAGATGATTTTTTTATTCCTCTTTTTAGTCAATTTAGCAGGGGTTTCTAAACTTAGTTAAAGCTAAGCACAGTATGATAAACACTCTGACTCGAAATGGATAATATAATTCTGAAAAAAAAAATGCTTTTACTATTGGTAAATCATTGAGATGTTTCTCACCGCGTAACATGAAATCCATGGGGAGGAGTTGGATCCAGATCCAACTCCCACCTTACATACACCTAAACAGGGACGTGCACAGGGGGGTTGCTCAGGTTGCCCGGGCAACTGCCCATATGCCCTTCTCGACTCAGGTTGCCCTTCCGAGGGGGAAAAAAAAATACTTCAATGGATGTGGAATTTCACGTAGGCCTAGACAAAAAAATAATATAAAAATCGCAAAGCCTCATTCACTTCCATTTGGGCACTGAAAGTGAAAGTCAAACTGTTTACGTGGCTGCAGTGCCGCACGCGACCATAGACTGCACTCGAAAGCAAATTACTCAGGCCGCGCCTCCATCTCTTGTCGCGCGCTAATTAATGTGTACGAAGTCCATGACAAAATGAAGCGAAAGTATCCTTCTCACGAGAGTCACGAAAAGAGGAAGAAGAAAAACATGAGAGTGAATTGCGGGAACAGCAGTCAGGTAAACTTGTGTTCTCTCCTCTCTAGTTTGATGTCAGCAAGGTTTGATGGTTTTTAGTTTTGCTAACCTATCTGGGCAGGCAGTGCATCTCTTGCATCACTTTTTGCTTGACAAAAGTGAGAGTAAAATACCATTATTTATTACGTTTTGTTTTTGATAAACGACAAAGTGCAACAACAGTGTTTGTTTACTGCAGCTCGGAAAACATAACCGCGTCGCGTGTGTTGCGTTCATATGCGCGTGCACGAAATGAAACTCGCATTTTTCAAGCAGAAATGTGGAGACCAGAAACTGTACAATACGTGAATGATGGCACTCCCAATCAAAGTACACATTATAAAGACACTGTTTATCTAGTCTCAGTGTAGTTAAAAACTCTAAACAACTGCACTAATTATGCAAGATACAAACCAATGTATTGGCAATTTGACATTGATTGACTGATTTATATTGAATTTAAAATGATGATTAGCTGGACATTCTGGTCAATATGAATGCAAATCCCTCAGTAAATAACCAAAAAAATTAAATAAAAATCAAAGGCTACTGATTCCGAATATACCCAGGCTGTAGAGTGAACCAAAGTTAATCCCAAAAGCCAAAGTTCAGGGTTGTACTTTATTATTTTCTTCTTATTTATGTTTACGTTAATATTCACTTGTTATCTTAACATTCTATAAAAATGCTTTATTCAGTAAATATTGTTTGTTTGAACCTTATTCTGTTCTATATTGTTGTACTTGTACTTGTTTAAAGGAGGGAGGATTGTATCGGGCGGTATTGAGTGGCAATGGCAAATGGTTTACATGGCTCACGGCATCACAGATCAGGTAGAGGGCCCCATAGCAGAATTTTGCACTATGACTATAACAAACATTTAATTGTGTGCTTTATAAATCGTTAATATATTAATTGATAACACAAGACTATAAAACGAATATTACGAACTAAAAACGTTCAACAATCCACTTTCACAATATAAAATGTCACACTTACTCTGTATCACTTTATTTCTTCTGAAGACACAAAAGGTCCAACATGGGAAATCATCCGGTTTCCACTGGCTTCTCTCGGACATTCTCAGAGAAAGAAACTGATTTAGCAAATCATCTTAAATCCGCCCATGATGGATTGAATCTGACCATGAATAAAAACTGATGCAGCTAGAAAATGCTTTAGTGTAATTTAATTCATCTGTGCTCATAATTGTAAAAAACAGTGATGTTTTTAATGTATCCACTGTAATTAATTTATATACCACAGTAGTGATAACTACAAGACAACCATTGACATTGGCTTGAGAAAAACTGAGCAGAAAGTTTGGAATAGATTTCATATTTTGAAGTTGGAAGATTTATGTTTGAAGCGATTTTAAAAGCTTGAAGTTTAGGTTTTAACACCATGCAAGACAGAAAGATAGATAGATAAATTAAGTTTAGTTTACTAAGTTTAGTTTACACAATAAATTAAGTTTAGTTTACTGCTATCAAACCATTAGAGTAAAACCTGCAGAACATTTTGTGCAGTTGTTTAAACATACATTTTTGAGTTAAAAGTATATTTTTACTTGTTCATTCAACTTTCAGTCTAGTTGAGGACAAGAAAACTTAAACTTTCTTGTTATCTGGACAATCTGGCTCTCTAAACACAAAAAAGTCGGAATAACTAAATTGCAATTGGATTTATTGCCTCATAAAAATGTTCACTCATTTACTTGTTTACTATGTAAAAGATAATAGGTATATAAACCTATTACCTAAACTTGTATTTTACAACTATTATCTGTTCTTTACATGCTAGAGATAAGCCTATGCGGATTCACTTTCTCTTTGTGGGTATGCACGTGTGTATACACGTGTGTATGCAAGTGCGGGTCTCAGAACAGTCTACACGACACTAATTTCAGCTAAAAACAGAAACCTTTTATTTGTTTCAGCTGTTCATTTATAACACAACAGTGTTTGGGGATGAGATGTTGGAAACATCTCTTGCCTTAACTGTATACTACTGTCTACACTACACTATGTCATATACTGAACTACCTGTCTATACTGTTCACATTGCACTTTTTGCACTTCTGGTTAGACGCTAACTGCCTTTTATTGTCTCTATAATTGTAATTTGCACAATGACAAAAAAGTTAAAACTCAAGTAAATCTAAATCCTGCTACCTCTACACAAATACATCACCTAATATCATGGTTATGCAACCATGTAGTTGAATTTTACATATTTATAGTATTATGTCAGTATCAGTATTTGCTTTCAACCATGCACAGATAAAAAATGTCACTGAACGTTTGCTGTGTAATTGTAATACTGAGCACTCAAACACACCAAACCAACAATTATTAAAAACACACACAAAAACTGCTTTTGCACAGGCACTGCACTAGTTACTATAAATTACAGCAACACCTCCCCCTTTGCCAGGAGACTCATATTTATAACAATAATCTTGGGGGTAGACTCCTGGTTTTAGCCAGGTTTCTGTCAAATCTAGGCTATGATTTGTTATCACATCATTAACAATATGTGCTTTTGAAGAAAGTTAATGTATAACTAAAGAATAATTAAACCATTAATTAACGATTACTGCATCAGCAACTAATAAAGAGTATATATGATTAATAGATTAAGTAATACATGAATTGCTGTATTAATTCAATGTGTCATTGCGTATTAATTCCTTAATAACATATTGTTACGCCCCGTGGCTCAAAAGGGACGCAACAAAATTGGGACACACGA